GTTACCATGCAAATCCACCTTTTTCTTCTTTTATTTACTTTTGCAGCCATGTGTGTGTGTGCGTGAGTGAGAAAATGTTCAATAGATCAGAACAAAAGCAAGAAATAAAACAATCTTATGAGGTAATATTACTTTTTGTCTTTTTGTCTAGTGAGTGCATAGCAACGCCATTGGCTTTAGTATGTCCGTATTGACCTTTACGGTGAGTGATAATCCCAAACCGAAGGTACATAATCATTGTCCCAAACAAAGCCACGACTGCAACCGAAAGCAAAAGTACCTAAAACTCTTGATGCCTTAAAAGCAAATGACTAAAAGACAAACATATAGAGACCCATACTGGTTCAAGGAAAGCAACAACTTACAAGCTTTGCTCAATAGTAACTCAATCGGTCCTTGGAAGTCTTGAAGGTAATGCTCATTAACATTTTCTACTGAATCCAATAAAATTCTCAAGCCTCAAGAAAGGCAATGACATAGATATTTACCCGTAAGAGATTTATACCTATAGATGTTATATATTAGTACAACATAGTTCACTATATTGTAGTATAACGGGCAATTGATACAAAATACTCCGAAAGTAGGTAATTGCCCTTCAATACAAGAATTCGCATACGTGCACTTTCTCCTCCCATGAGCTCTGGTTTAATGACATTTTTGTGTGTGTCTCAAAATCATTTATTTGTGGGCCGTACATGGGCCAATCCACATTTCAACCCAATTAAACTTATAACTTCACAGGTTAACATAATTAAACAGGATCACTAAAATTGCTTAAAAGATTAGTCTTTTCGTATTATGATCTAAAAAATGTGATTTTTGCATTTCCCACCGAGTTGAAAATTTCCAAGACACTGTGCATGTTCATCTTTGCTATATCCAAGAACATCACTTTCACGGTTCTCATGGCCTGAGTTTAAAGTCATCTTAATTGTTTCTCTATGTCTATATAAAGGTTTAATTTGTCATTTACATCGTATTGAACATAAGCATATATATAGTACCTTTATATTCTGTACTGTGCAGACATGTCTGACATCGTGGAGTTTAGGAGTGTTAAAATCAAAACAACAATATATAGCAACAAACGAAGAAGAAGTCGATGAAGCCATAAAAGTCATCGATGTCAAACTCTTGTACGAGGTTGATCGGTCTAGACATGATACCGATTCGAGTAGCACCAGGACCATCAACTTCTGGAAAAACCTCAAGTGCTATACTTCAGCTTTGTAACTCAAGCCAGTGCCTCATAGCCCGGCTTCATTCTTTCCATACCGTGCCTGAATCTCTCTACAACTTCTTGATACTGCCAAAATTTTACATTCGCGGGTTTTGGTATTAAAGATACAAAGGACAGACTCGAGGAAGACTATGGCTTAGTTTGTAAGAATTACTTTGAAGTTGGAACGGCCATCTGGGCACATTACTCTACTCAAAGCTCGACCATATGAGGATGCCACCTACGAGTAATATCTCTAAACCTTTGGGGTAGTAGTTTCGAGCTAACCAAAGATGAAATCGCAGTGGCTGTCTCAAATGCTTACTTTTCATTTCGTATTGCCCAGTCAATGCTTCTCTTCTGAAAAGTGTTGATCTATCATTTCACATTTGGTACGATTTTTTAGTCAGTAAGCAAGTTTCAAGTATTATGTTTTGCGATGTAGTTTGTTTATTTATCCTTTGATGTTTCAAGTCTTTTTTTTTTTTTTCACAAATCGTAATTCCAGTTTAAGTCTTTTCAGTTTTCCATAAATATGGTTGAATAGAAATTTCATTATATGTCA